CCCAATGAACAAATTACGTCGGGAAATAGAATCAGATATGAAAAGGATGAGTAAGAACTAGAAAGAGCTCGAAAGGATTGCCCAGGACATGGTTGGATGAAGAATGCTGATGGGGGGCTTATGCTCATTCATAAGGAGTAGCAGGCATAAGCAAGTAAGTAAGGTACGACCCACTGAAGTCTCAATCTTAGAGATTATTAGAAACCGACTGCCCATACGAGGATGTTGTGAATTGCTAATAAGAGATGATAACTCTTTATACACACCTTGTGAATTTTTAGTTAGCGCTGTCGATAATGGGTTAATAGAATTTGAAAAAGCTTAAAGTGGAGTTCTAACGGCTCTCTTCAAGTGATTGAGACGCTACGAGATACAATGTGCTCAAGAGTAGGTTATCGGTTTCTGTGACAACGTGAGTAACGACAGCTCTCGTACTTTGCATGTTACTACCGTCCATAATTGGAAGAAAATGCGCTCTGTCCTCAAGTCCTGACACTATCGATTTTAAGAAATAAACGACCAATTATAACGAACTTAGAACTAGTTATTTGATTGGACGAAACAGAATGAAAATTATTGGAAGATGGGGATGAAAAAAATTTCACTCGAAAAAAAATGGCCGTGAAATTGATGTTAAACTCAGGAGAAGTTAAACCCATCAAGCTTATTAGTGTACAATTTGGTTGATTGAAATTATTCATTGTTTTGTGTATATAAAGCTGAAGAAATTATCATTGAATAAGTACCAACATTTCTCCTTGACAATTTCATTATTTCAAATGTCTTAAACAATTGGTTCACAAATATTTTAACATATCTATCTGTTCCTTCAGTAATTATTATGGAAAAATAGAGAAGTTTACATGCAAGAGAATCTCTGAACATATATCAAGAAATTAGATGATAAATTAATACCAGATTACCAAATAAAACCATAAGAAATATTATTAGGGATGATGATTACATAACAGGTTTAGTCAACTAATAAAATAATAGCAATTTTTTTACTCATTACATAGACAACAGTGGTTCGTTGTCCAAACCCTCGATAAATCTTACGGGGAGTGCCAATTCGCCAGCAGCTTAATTCTTGAATACATAGCCAACTTGAATTCACATCCCCGTTGTTGTATCCGGACGAGGAATAAGTGAATGGTAACCGCTAGAATCTATTTACGGACTGTTATTATATGTATCTACATTGAATAACTATTAGGTAACTATATTATATGTATATTCACATTCCCCTCATTATAAGCTTTCATTTGATTTATTGACTATTATTTTACGATTTACTATTCTTACGTTATATCCAATTTATTAGTTACAGTCTATTACAATCACAGTCACATTTTGGTATGGTTCCATATTATTATTATTATTATTATTATTATTTATTTTTTTATGGTATAATATGGTCTGGTTTGCTTGTATATAAACAAAGTATGTCTGAAATATATGCTTTATATGGTAGTAGCTGTGTTCTTGACTCAACAGCAGGCAGGGCTAGACGAGGAAGATCAATAAGAACTCTAGGCTGTTCGTACTAGTCAAAACGTAACTAGTTTTGCACAGTACTAAAATTGTATTCTGATTAGTGCCTTATCACGTGATAATGAACAGGTCGCAAGACACAACACCCGCTACGTAAATCATCGTTCAAAATTTTATTCAATATAAAAACAACAGCCAAATCTATAGCAACTCATCTTTACAAAACCGAATTCTGTGTATAGAAGAGTTGCATTCAATCCCTTATTCTCCAATAGTCTTGACATTCAATTACATATCACCTAAACAATCCAAGTTGACATAGTTTTCCATATCTTCTATATGAAATCAAACTACTAATATTATATTGGCTAAACTATCAATCCAATGTTAAAGCGTGTTTTTCATAGAAATTCACTTTAGATTTACTAAATTTATCTTGAAACAACTAGCGAAAATTTCGATTTCACAGTTAATTAAAATCCGACTCATCACATAATTAATGTTATATTTCGTGTAGATTTATGATGTTCCTAACCACATATGAATATGACCGTAGGTTGAGTTATCTACAACTAGTCAACTGATTCTACGATAGCTCACTAGTGATGATCTACTTCAAGATGTTTCTGAAGTTCTAATGAGTAGTGTTTGGTAGAGTTCTGTCAGGTTGGCAATTGAGACAGTTATCACCAGTGGAATTGTATTACCCTCTTACTACATCGTAAATTGATCGGAGTTCAAATTGTATCGTTGAACACTAGCCAAGTGGTTTTGGGAGTTTTACGTTCATTTTAAGATTTAAAAACCTTGTGTTTAATCCCTAGTGGACTGCTATGTACACATTTCTACCGAGTTTTATGCTAGAATGAAACAACTACCTAGTATTCTCCGATTTCCAACTGTATTACAGATGTGACGACCATTGCCTACAACTTGAATAAATCTTCACAAACCCTTTTAAATAAATAATTTTAAATTGTATGACACTGGACACAATCTTTCGAAAAGCGTGGTTGATCATTTAGTTTGTGCTAGTTGCGCAACTGGTTCTAGACATATTTTCTTTTTAGGCTGCATCAGATCGACGCATAAGATGACTTGAATTTTGTTTTTGTTCCTAACTATATAAATCGTCCAGATACGAGTATAACGGTCCCCAAAGTTACGTATTCAAACTTAAAATGAAATAATTTAATAAATCTATCCCGTGTTGATAAATAGTTGTGGACAACTGCAGAGTCTTGGGATGGCGCGAAATAATTAACTGTCAGTCGTAAAAGTCATTCCCAGAATATATCTTCTATGTATGGTACAAATTTGGAACCATATAATAAACTTTATAATAATTATCATTCACACCTGAGAATTCTTGTAAATTAAATACTACTTCTGGTTGCTAGGATTGTTGTTAAATTTTGACAGTTCATTAAAGTGCATTGCTTCGCTTCCAAAACAACATAGAATTGGTGTGTTATACTTAGCCTTGTAAGTAGTTGTAGCGTGGCGTCGAGTTGCAACTGACTATGATCACCACTACAGGAAGGTTACGTACCAAATATCAGAAGCCAATTGAAGGTTGTGGCGATCTATATTTGTTGGTGATCTCGTGGTATCGAAACAATACCGAGATCGTACCAAAGGAGTACAAGCCTCTCCGAGTTGAGGACGTTAGACGACTTTCTGAGTTCGATCATCGTTGTCTCCGGAGGATTGCTGACATCCAGTGGCAACACCATGTCAGTAATGCAGAGGTTCGGCATCGTGTGTTCGGGCACAGAGATGATAATTCAATTGGTGTCACCATCTTGAAACACCGACTTCGGTGGCTTGGACATGTTCTCCGAATGTCGTCCCAGAGGATTCCACGTCGTGCATTATTTGCCGACTCTGGGACTGGTTGGAAGAAGCGGAGAGGTGGTCAGTATATGACATGGTGTCGTGGCATGAAAGAAAGCTGCAAAGGACTGGCTTGTGTCGGTCCTTCACGACTCCCTGGTTGGGGTCTGAGAGATGGTGCTACACAATGGCTAGAGACGTTATGAGATATGGCTCAGAATAGAAGCCAGTGGCGATCCTGCTGTAACCTTCTTTTACTTTCTTCATAAAAGTGGTTGTTTCTTCCTTGACTGAAAGATTTGTTCTGATTGTACCTTTCCGTTCCCCCATTATGACTATGATTATTACAACACTCTGTTACACCAATCTCTTCATTATTGTTTTTTTATAAAACAAAAAATTTTTTTTACGTTCCTCATTTTTTTTTCTTCTTAAATTCTCATTGTTTTGTGTGGCGCATATATATTTGGCGAACTTCTGCACCAATATATATGTGTTCAAATAAATAAATTCTGAGCAAAAGTAAGTTCGCGCAAGTTCACAACCGACGGAAGGAAGAATGGAAGAATAATGGATGTCTTCAGTACAGTTAAACAAACAACTAAAGTAAAACAATCACTGGTACAATCGGTTATGATAATAATTGTTTCCGTTAAACCAATCGCGTTCTCTTTATAAAAGTAGGTCACTACAGGAGTCCCTCGCTAGAACGGGTTTACACTTTCGATAGGTAGCGGTTTAGTTCCTGGGACTGATCAGCAAACTTGCGATTGTAGGCCGAGAGGATTGGCGGAACAGGAAGTTACTTCCGACACCATGATTACTAGTAAAATGTGATGTTGTATTATGGATTATTCAAATGGTTGCATCAGTACAAGCTGAAAAGAAATTAAGCCAGGCATTTGAAGTATCTTTCATGTGAAGATGATCAGTTTTAAAAAGTTAGGAATCTAGTGACTAAAGTGTCTTATTGAGGTCTCCCGTTGGACATATTTTTTGTATCACATTTTATGGTGAACTTTAATCCACTCCAAGTGGCAATTAACTGCAGGTACATCCAGCTGACGAGTCCTAAACAGGACGAAACGCGCGTCCTGGATTCCACTGCTAGCCACTACCCATCATCGCTTACAAAAAGCTTGTGAATGAACGCAAAACTCCCAAAACCACTTGGCTAGTGTTCAACGATACAATTTGAACTCCGATCAATTTACGATGTAGTAAGAGGGTAATACAATTCCACTGGTGATAACTGTCTCAATTGCCAACCTGACAGAACTCTACCAAACACTACTCATTAGAACTTCAGAAACATCTTGAAGTAGATCATCACTAGTGAGCTATCGTAGAATCAGTTGACTAGTTGTAGATAACTCAACCTACGGTCATATTCATATGTGGTTAGGAGAAACAATTATCTAATATTTCATTTAGTGCAATGGACTTTTTAGACAATGGAATATTTTACAACATATATTAGTCACTTAAAGACAAGAATGCCCTGGTACGGCCGAGAGTGGGGAGAGTCCGCTGTTGCTGTCGTCATTGTCATCAACATCGTTGTTGTTGTAGGCGACCGTGGCAATAATGGCGATGGTTTTGGTGACACTGATGATAATTGATCACTTTTTAATAACATTTCATGTTGTGAATCATCCATCGACAATCAATCATTTCTTGACTTTTTTTGACATCATACGACAATCCCTTTCGGATAATCTCAATTCTCCATCACTATTATTATGATGTTGATGACCATGGTGTCCATTATATACATTATATTGTGTATCATCTAACGTTGACGATTGATTCTCCATAAATTTTTTATCTTCATCATTTAATGGTATATTAAAACGTAATTTCAACTCTATTAATTCATGATGTAATTTATGATATTGTGTTTGTAATTGAATAATACGACATTCCATGAGAATATCATTTTGTCGACGTTTTTCACGTGACCGTTTGGCTGCTTCATCACTTATACGCCGACATCCTCAATATTTATCGTCTTTTTTAGAATGTGGTATAAATTTACAATGTTTACGATCACGTCCTACAGAATTCAATAGACTATTATTTATTGATGATGAATGAAGATTGATTTGTTGTGATGTTGCTGGTATCGGTGTTAAGGTTGTTGATGACGATGAAGACATGTTTCGGTGTTTAGTTAGATGGTATATTCCAATTCTAGTTAAAAATCTTAGCATAAGTGTGTCAAATGATACCTGATATTATTTTTATTTGATTGTAATCACTTACCGACATGTCGGATATTTGAAGTCTTGATTTTGTGTTCACCTTGTATTTCCCAAAAAGGCCTTTATTCAGATGTTTATATGGTTGATAGGCGGATTTTCAGCTCGTTATCACAGCTGATTTAACGTTGATATTTAACAGAAATCACCTTTATAGTTTAGCTACAGGCATTTTAATATCTTCTCAATTAAAATACTTTGTGTGTTTTATTTGACAAATGGCAAAATGGGAATATTCAAAAAATAGTTAATCAGATGTACATGATCCAGTTAGTTATTCTCCATTTATTTTTTGTAAAATATAAAATGAGATGAAACAATGATGAATCATTTGAGGCTTAACATTCGATCGTTCTTATGAGATTTATAGTTGGATATATAATAAATCAATAAATTATGCAAATGTTTAAATGTAGTAATTCTAACTATAGTTGACATGTGTACATTAAAGTAGTAACTAACTTCTATCCTGCTTGCGAAAAAGAAGTAATTGCTATCCTTGTTGTCGTTAATTTGCTTCAATGACCAAACTACCTTGTCTTACAGATCAATTTTTTTATTTACTATTATATATCCAACTATGAAATTCATATGAACGATCGAATGTTAGGCCTCTTGATACTCAAATGACTCATCATTGTTTCATCTCATTTTATATTTAACAAAAATTCAATGGAGGATAGCTAACTGTGTCATGTACATCTGATTAGCTATTTATTGCTTTGGGAAGTGTCTTGCGACGTAGTTCGGTGCTTTCATCAATGTGTTATTATTATTATTATTATTCACAAACATCTTATGGGTACATAGGTGTTGTGAAGAAACCATTTCGGGTTTCCTCAAACATGCAATAATACACAAGTTTCAATAATGTTAGGATTATATTTGCCATATTTGGAAAACAGAATAATGATGATGATATTAATAATAATAGGATAATAATAAATCAGGTTCTGTGTAATTGAGAGGAATATTGAATGGAGTTGAAAGAAGGAAAAGGAGAAAATGAGGCAAGAGAAATAAAGGAGACGTGAAATACGCAAATCGTTTAATAAGCGTGTTTATGAACACAGAACAAGAATAAACGACTATGTATGTATCGTCAAATTGGTAACAAGAATCAAATAAAAAATAATCAAGAAAAAATAACTTCTAATTGCAGTAAGTTATGACGCTAGAAAATGAATGTTTGTGCAGTCATAGTTTGGAGTGATGCTATAAAAGTCTCAATTATTAAGTGAAAAGGATAACCAATTATCAATGTGTATGAGTCATAGTGAAGATGCATAGTGAAGATGAAACGAGTTTGACAAGTTAAATGTAGCACAAGTTATTGTCTTAATGAGAAACCTCGCAAACTTAAGAATAATATTTATTTAGAAGGGAAAAGAGAGAGGGAAAAGAAATGAACATCTAGTGAAAGGGTTCAATCATGATAATAATCATAATAATCGTGTAATGCATATCAACCTCTGAAGTAAACCATCAATTAAGAAAAAAAACAACTTTTTAATGCACTCGGATAAATACCATGTAGATTTATGTAATCGTATACAGAGTGAAGCCGGATATTAGTATAAACAGTTTGAGTAATAATAATAATGATTAAGAATGATGCTATAAAATTCACAATTAGTTCCAAAGGATAATCAAATATCAATTACTGTGTTATATATATATGGTGAAGATAAAACGAATCAGAGAAGTAGATTTATTGAAGTGTAACATAAGATAATTTGTTATTATTTATAAACTTTGGATGTTTACGAATAAAATATGTTTAGGAGGAATAGTAGAGATGAAGAGAATATCTTATGTGTCGAGGGACCAATAATGATATTAATAACGGTAATAAATATAAATACGAACATAAGCAGACTTCATATATTAAGATGAATAGAAATAAAATAAAATAGACGTTGAAAGTTTCAAAGGTTACACTTTGCTTTTCAGTCAATTAGATAGATGAAGGACTTTGTTTGTATAAATCATTATTTAATACATTGATATTCAAAAAGTGACACAATCCACCGTCGGAATGAAAATCCATTTCCAGCGCTTCTTCCCGATTTCTTCCTCCGTTGGGATCTGGTTTGTTCTCTCCCACAGTAGGTTGTTGCTAATAGTGTCTGGCCAACGGACCTGAAGTATTTTGCGTAGACAACTGTTAATAACGCATCTATTATTTGTGATGTTCCAACGAGCATCAATCGCCTCTTCGTCCCTCAAGCCTGCAGATGTCAAGTATTTCGACAACTGCACGAACTTTCATATCGAGGAATCAGAGCCACCACTAAATTGATTACTGAAGGTTTCGTGTGGCCGAAAATTAAATCAGATATAAAACGATGGACCCGAAGCTGTATACAATGTCAACGCAGCAAAATTCAGAAACATACAATCAGTCCCGTTGGGAAGTTCTTTCTGCCAGAAAAAACGCTTCCAACACATTCATCCAGACATAGCCGGTCCACTGCCACCACCAAATTCATTCACGCATATCCTCACTGCAGTGGACCGGTTCACAAGATGGGCTATAGCATTTCCTATTACCTATACCTCTGCAGAGACAGTAACCGCCGCATCCCTTGAGCGTTGGATATCAAAATACGGAGTACCATCCATCGTCACTACAGACCGTGATCCCCAGTTACAGTCTATCCTATTTCAGTTCACAAAACTTCTGGGTGTGAACCACATCAAAACAACAGCTCGCTGATGGCACATGATGATACATCAACGTGGAGAGACGCATTAGCACTCGTACTCCTAGGAATCCGTTCAACCATAAAGGAAGATATAGGTTGCACAGTCGCTGAACTAGTTTTGCGGCACAACTCTTACGTTATCAGGCCAATGAGTGGACCCAGACACATCAGTACCAACTGATCCAAGTCGTTTTGCTAACCAACTACCACAATCATTGCAAAGAATCAAAGCAATACCGCCGCGAGAACATAATAATCAAATACAACTCGACAAAAACCTAGAAACATGCAAATTTGTCTTCGTTCGAGTTGACGCTGTTAAAAAGCCACTGAAACAACCTTACGACGGACCATATCAAGTTATTAAAAGAACAAACAAACACTTCATAATGAACAAGTGCGGAAAGAAGGAGGCCATCGCTATTGATAGGAAAAAACCTGCTTTCTACGTAGCTCAACTAGACAAAGAAGATAACACGGCACTTAATCAACCCCTCCCACCAATCACTACTTGAGCAGAGGGGGATGAAAAACCGAGTACCAAACGTACTTGTTTAGCACGTTCAGGCAGGACTGTAAAGAAACCCAAACGCTATGTACATTTTGCCGAATACAAAAAATCATAACAAACAATTATCGATGCACTACACTGTTAAATTTGTAGTGACTCACTTTTATCACGAGAACACGATTGGTTTATTGAAAACAATTATTATTATTATAACCAATTGTACCTGTGCTTGTTTAATATGCTCTTTGTTTAACTGTGCTAAAAGCATCCATTATTATTATTCTTACACTTTGATTGTGGCCTCGCGCGAATTCGGTTACGCTCAGTAACCAAGCTTGTATCCTGGCACGATCTCGGTATCCTTTCGATACCACGAGATCACCAGCAAATAGATCTCGATTTGGTCCATTAACTGTTTTCTGATATTTGGCTTCCGGGGGATTTTGTGGATTCATTTGGTACGTGTTTCTCTGTAGCGGTGTTCATAGTCAAACGCAACTCGAGGCCACGCTACAAATTCACCCGATTTATCAATAAAATCTACTAGATTTTTGAAAACGTGTATATAATTAATCATATTTTTCCACAATTACTCGTTTTGTCAGTATTTTTTTGTGGGTTTATTAACAGTTTTGCACATTATTATTATTAGGAAACCAGAACTTTGAATAACCGTATTTTCATTCCTTTTGTGGTTGTTATTGCTATGCTACATCAATGCTACTTTTACACAATAACACATCGTATATTACTAATGTGCATGTCATACACATCTCCATATTTTTTGTTGGTTATTACTGTAAATAATATTTTTGCATACATGTATATACCATATCCTTACAAATTTTTTTGTTGCTATTATAACCAGTCTTACCCCGGACACTCCGGTGGGAGCTATGTGGAGATATGCCTGATGAGCTTATTTTGTAAATAGTTTTTGATGTTATTTGCATTTATTTTGTCAATTTTTCACTCCATGTACATTTATCATTAAATGATTGTACGTGTTGTTTAAGTGTATGACCGTGAACACACTTTCCTTCCGTTGTGTAAATTCATAGCATGACACACTGTTGACTGCTAACAAATACATTGTTGCACACATACTTCTCGTTCTACATTATCTAGTGATTGCGTTAACTGAACTCTAACTTGAATACCGTCTACATTTATAGACTGCAATCGGAATATACCATAATCTACGTTGGATTATACCACTGGGGAATTAATCAAGCTTACTGGAACCATCAATCATCTATAATTTTGGACTTTTGGAACCAGACTCAATCAGAACAAGCACCAACTTTGCTGAATTTAGTAACGTCCCTCATTTTTTTGTGTTTATAACATTTAACTTATATATATTGACAATATTACTTGTACTTAATAACTCTATTATCATTTTTCGGTTCATATATTGTCTGGTCCAACACAGCATAAGTGTTTAT